AAATTACTTTGACTGCATTTTGCTGTTTGACTGATTTTACTGTCTTCTAACTGCAATTAAATTTTAATTCCCTCTGTTCCCAATCTTTGGCCTGTAGGCACCGTCATCTGAGTAGCCAAACTAGTACTGCATATCCACAGGACAGAAATCTCAACAGTCTGTGGTGAACTCACAGGTCTGTAGAAGGACAAAAAGAAAACTTGCAGAGAAAGGCACATCTGACCAGGCTGGATCTCAAACAAACAGCCCACTAGGTTCAGAATGGTGACTGAAGATTGTGTTGGGACTGAAGGTTGTAAAGGTCTGGTGGTGGTGGGACTGACTATAACCCTGCACAACATACCCACACTGAAGCATTTTGCTGCAGTCCCCCATTTGTCTTGCTGAAATTCTAGATGATTTTGTGGTTTATATGGTTTGTGTTTAAAATGGTAAGCTGCCTTGAAAGTGCACTGCATACAAAGGCAGGGTATATAGGACCACAGAGTTGGAAGAGACTCCAAGGGCCATCCAGTTCAACCCCTTGCCATGCAGGAGCATACAATCAATACACTCCCGACAGATGGCCATCCAGCCTCTGTTTAAAAACCTTCGAAGATGGAGACTCCACATCCTGAGGCAGTGTATTCATTGTATTCTTACAATCAGAAGTTCTTCCTTATGTTTAGGTAGAATCCCTTTTCATACTCTTTTGAAGTGTATTTTCATACACTTTCCAGAGAGCCCTGTGGTTGCTCAGAATTATAGCGGGGGTGGTTCTTCAATTACATGATCAGTAAGTTTAGACTGAAGGTCAGCCTGCCCTTCTTTGTTGGTTGCTTTAGCTTTCCCTACACACCCATGTACATCAAAAAGAGATGTTAGAGTTGGGGCTAGGGGTCTTAATAGTTAGCTCAAGTGTCATCACAGAGAGTCCCAACCACATAAACTGAGCTTGTTTTCACCCTTGAACCTGTCCTAGAAGCCGCTGGAACATCCTGAAATTCAAACCATTTGGACAAAGAGGCCTAAATAAATTAGACCATAGGTCTATGTAGTTAGTCATGCTTTTTCTCCATAATAGCCAAGCCCAGAAGCAAATCATGAAAGCAGCTTTCTCCCTCTCTTGCTCTCCCATTTAGTGGCATTATTCAGAAAATGCACTGTTTGAATTTAGAGGTTCAATATATCTGTCTGGACTAATAGGCACTTAGTCTAGACACTTAGCTAATAGTTTATTTGCCACAAAGTTGGCTGTGATATATAGGTAATTCTATGAATGAGACACCTCCAAAAGTCCCAATCATCAGCAACAATACTTAGATTGGGCAAACTCAGGGCCCCAGCTTCCTTGACTAAATTCATTTGTCATCTTGTCTTCATTTTTTCCCACTTCCCTTCACCTTACTGAGCATTGCCTTTTCCAGCAAGTCATGACTCAGGATGTGTCCAAAGCACAATAGTCTCAGTTTAGTAATTTTAGTTTCTAGTGAGACTGAAGACTTACTTTGTTCTAAGACCCATTCATTTGTCTTTTTGGAAGTCCAGCATGTATGCAGGACATACATGCACTATAAAGAACTCAGCACTATATTTCAAATGAGTTGATCTTCCTGTTAGCTTTCTTCACCGTCCAGCTATCACAATCATAGACTGAATTAGGAAAAACTATGGCATGAATGATTTTATTCTAACTTTTCTATGTAATGATATGTCTTTATACTTAAGGATCTTATGCTAGTTCCTTCATATCTCCCTCCCCAAGCCTTAAGACTTCTTTTGATTTCTTGGCTACAATCACCATTCTGAGCCAAAGTACAGAAAATATTTGATTATAACTTTTATGAAGACTCAAACACCTACTTTGTGATTACACAGATTGTTATTTCCTCCCTCTCCACTACATGCCTTCCTCTAACATGTTGCTCTCTAGATTTATGGACTACAATGCCCAATTTCTCCAAGCATTGTGGACAATGGGATAAGGATGATGGGACCCATGGTCCATGACTTCTACAGGGCACCGGGCTGAAAAAGGTAAGCTGGGCATAAAGAATGAGCAGGGGTAGGGACATCATTTCAACACAAATGTGAACAGAGCTTCACAAAGTTACTTTCTGGAACAATCAGTTCCAGAATCCCTTTGGCCATGCTGGTTGGAAGATTCTAACTGGGAATTAAGACTGCTAGGTGGAGCAAGGGAAGAGACTCCCGGTTTTTAATAGTTGTGGAAAGGAAGGAATTTCAGCACATTTTGCCTGTTATCTGGTTGTATGTCAAGCAACACCTGCTGAAATTAACTCTCCTACACAATCTGTAAAGGTACAGGATCCCTGTCTATTATTTCACCTGGGAACTCATCTGCCAAATAAAATAAAGTGAATGGGATAACTTTCAGCACCATTGTCTGGGACAGCTCCCTTAGCAACAACAGACATGAAGAACTGACTAAGGATCTTGTAGCACCTTTGAAACTAACTGAAAGAAAGATGCTGGTAGCATGAGCTCTTGTAAACATTTGAGGAAGTAGACTCAAGTCTATGAAAGCTCATGCTATCAGCTTCTTTTTTTCAGTTAGTCTCAAAGGTGCGACAAGATCCCTTTGCACACTGATTTTCCAGACTAACACAGTGATGTCTTGGGCTGTTTGAAAGTCTTTATTGTTGTCTCTGTCTTTGAACCCATCTTGTTCCTCCATCTCTGTACATATAATAAACTCCAGATACATACCATAATTCAAAAAATAACATTGGGCAAGATAGGCTTAAGTGAGCATGCATATAAGACTCACTGAGAGGTATTCTTACTTAGCAGGAAGTATAATTTGAGATGTGTACTTGTGCTCTAGACTTAATAGTTGAAATCATTTGCCCTATGATCCAGACAAAGGTAGGAAAACTGTTTATGCCTAGCTGATGTATTTCAATGCAGTTGTTGGGCTCCATTGAACTGATCATTTCAATGTCACTCATCCTCTACTAAATGAACACTCTTTTCAAATACAATAACATTGTTGTTGTTAACTGCCCTTGAGTTAACCTTGACTCATGGTGCCCTGTGGATGAGACATTTCCCGTTCTCCCTATCCTCAACAGCTCTGCTCAGGTCCTGGAGGCTCAGGCCCATGGCCTCCTTGTTTAAGTCTAACCATCTTGCATATTGCATATGGTCTTCCTCTCGTTCTACTGCCTCCCACCTTTCCTAGCATTACTGTCTTTTCTAATGATGCATGCCTTCTCATGATGGAGCCAAAGTATGACAACCTCATTTTAGTCATCCTGACTTCCAGGGGTAGTTTTGGCTTGTTCTGTTCTAGAACCCATTTGTTTGTCTTTTTGGGTGTCCACAGTATCTTCAGCACTCTTCTCCAGCACCACATCTCAAATGAGCTGATTTTTTTTCCTTGTTCACTTTCTTCACTGTCCAGCTCTCACATCCATACATGGTGATGGGGAATGCAATGGCTTAGATGATCCTCAATTTGGTGTTTATATTTCTATTTATATTGCAACTGCCATCACCCTTGCCTTGGAGGGAGAGAAGAAGCAGGCACAGCTCTATCATGCCTAGACCTAGAAGCAGAAGAAAGGCCCTCCCTCCATTCCAACTGCTATTGTCCTGGCCTTGGATGAAGAGATTAAGAAGAAGCAGGCACAGCTCTATCATGCCTAGCCCCAAAAGAAGATGAAAGGCCCTCCCTCTACTCCAGATGCTACTGCCCTGGCCTCAGAGGGAGAGAAGAAGCAGAAGTAGCTGCTGGATGTGATCTCCTTCCCCATTTACATTCCCTTCTTTTGTGTCATGTCTTTAGATTGTAAGGATGAGGGCAGGGAACTGTCCAATTGACAATCTGAGAGCATTTCTGAAGAGCGGGGCATGAATACAACAAAGAAAAAAAATATATCTTTGCAATGCAATAATATAGCAATGCCAACACAACTGCAATGATAATAATTATTATTCTATTTGGCTGTACAGCCAATGCAGCTAACCCCTGGAGCTGTACTCTTTTTAAATACTCCTCTCTTTTTTGCATTTTGCAAAAAGTCTTTTTAAATTTTGCAAAAAGATTCCTCCTGCCAGCAGCTTCAACATGGATGGCTGGGAGGGGAAGGGGCTGGTGGCCACTGGCAAGCCAGGTTGCCATGGCCACCAGCCGGGGACTTTTCATCTGAAGGGACCCTCTCTCTGTCTTCCCCCCTCCTCCTTGAAAGTGACGTCATGGGCCTCCAAGGGAGGGGGGAAGGGGGGCCACCTGTGGACTGAGCGAGGCTTTAAAGAGACAGGCACTGGGAGGGAAAGGACCACCTGGCCATTGTCTCTCTCCTCTTGCTCGCCTTGTTCTCTCTGAGCTCAGATCCGAGCAGGAGAAGGCTGCAGATCGCCTTTAGGCTGCAGATCTGGCAGATCTCCTCCCCACCTTAAAGCAGCTCCCATCCACACGTTTCTTCCTACACGCGTCAAGCTGGAGCGCAGAAGCTGCCTCCCTTCTCTGGTGAAGCCTTCATTCTTCCTTCCTTGAGTCGGAAAGAAATCCTTTCCCCAAGAAGGTGGATTCATTCATCCCTTTGCAGTTGCATTCAGGTGTGCCCAAGAAGTGATGCTCCAGGTAAGAGATTCCTTCCTTCCTTCCTTCCTTCCTTCCTTCCTTCCTTCCCATCTTTTCTTTTTCTTTTTCTTCCCCTTGCTTGTCTTTGTAGGATGGTGGCCAGTGGGTTGTGGAAAAGAGGGAGAAGAAAAAGTTTCCTGGCTTGTCAGTGTTTGCTTAAGGATGGCACTCTGGGTTTTTGCAAAAAGTGGCTTTTTTAACCAACTGTTGTTTCCTGCGCTCTTGGGTTCACAGCCATTGCCTGCCCTGTTGTTGTTGTTGTTGTTGTTGGGTGCCTTCAAGTCCTTTCTGACTTAATGGTGAACCTATCCTGGGGGTTTCTTGGCAAGATTTGTTCAGAGGAGGTTTGCCATTGCCTTCCCCTGAGGCTGAGAGAGTGTGACTTGTCCAAGGTCCCCCAGTGGGTTTTACATGTCAGAGCTGGGATTCGAGCATTGGCCTCCAGAGTCAGTCCAGCACTCAAACCACTAAGCCACTCTGGCTCTTGTCATTGCCCATCATTAGCCTCCCCCCCCAAGCTTGCATACTCTCTTTGGACTGCAAGCCCTCACCAGTTGGGGATGATGGGGGTTATTGTAGTCCAGCACCTCTGAAAAGGAGAAAATGCAGAGAAGGCTAAAGGTCTGAGAGATGACTTTCAAATATATAGAGAGACAGTATGGTGTACTGGTTTGAATGCTGGATGAGGACTCTGGAGACAAGGGTTCGAATCCCCACTAGGTGATCTGGGGCAAGTCACACTCTCTCAGCATCAGAGGAGGGCAAAGGCCACCCTCCTCTGAACAGATTTTGCCAAGAAAGCAATATGAAAGGTTTGCCTTAGGGTCACCATAAATCGGAAATGACTAAAAGGCACACAACAACAAACCTCTGGAAGGCACAAGGTTGTGGAAAGCTGTTCTACAGCCCAGCAGTTTCAAACAAAAAACTTTGGACATTGTACAATGTCCAAATATCCTTCAGTGATAGATGCACACAGTATCTTCTAGCCATTTTCTCGTGTTGTCTCTATAAGCTGTTGGCTATTGTCGTAGTGGACCTTCGAGTCAATTCCAACTTATGGTGACCCTAAAGTGAACCTATCATGTTTTCTTGGCAAGATTTGTTCAAAGGAGGTTTGCCATTGCCTTCCCCCGAGGCTGAGAGAGTGTGACTTGTCCAAGGTCACCCACTGGATTTCCATGGTGGCATCAGGATTCAAACCTTGGACTCCAGAGTCATTGTCCAATGCTCAAACCAAGATCGCTATTATAAGTCAGGATGGAGCAGTCCTGCCCTTTCTGGGTACCAGATGCTTGCATTGATGGTTTCTTGAGTACTGTTGAGAACAGGATGCTGGTCAAGATGGACCCTTTGTCTAATCTAAAATGACCCTTCTTGCCATTTTATCATTTCTTACTATCATCCTGATGAAGCCAGCTTGGGTCAGAAAACTAGCTTGCGGTCTGACACCATCAGTCTTCAGTTCTAATACTAAGCGCCTAACTTCACAGAAGAGTAATGCCTTGGTTTTTCCTGCTCTTTTCATCCATCCCCTGCTTTTTTCTTTCTCACCAAAGCCATGGCAGATTTTAGGTGACTGCTCCATAGGTCTTGCCAATTCAGAAAGCTTTTGAGATAATAGATAATCAGTTGCCCTTTGTCCTGTCCTTGCCTTTGTTAAGTTTTCTTTGCTCTTTCTAAAATGTTGCTGTTTTCATGGATTGAAAATGTATATTGTTAAGTCAAGTTGTGGATCAGGAAGGATGAAATTTATCAGGGAATAAATAATATTAAATTCATAAGGTGAGGGTCACCCACCCCATATTCATCCCCATGGAATAAAGTCATCAGAAGCAGCTCCATTCCCTCTTTTACATTCCTCCCTCGTCTCCTCTTTCACCTTTGTGCATCTGCTCTTCTTGCCAAGGGTTTTCTGTTCCAAAGATTAGAGGTTTTTTTTCTTTTTTCAATTTTTCCCCCTCCAGATGTTTCGCCACCTGCTAAAGCTATCTTCGCTTTATGAGCAGAAAACATTACCTGTAGCATTCATGGTAGTCAGATTGGCTTTTATTTCCTTTTTACTGCTGGATTTCCTTCCAAAGTCTTTCTTCTTTTTCCCCCCCATTCCTTTTCCATTCCTTCCTTCCTTTCTCCATACATTATGGCTGCATTTCCTGCTGTCCACTATTTCTGTCTTGGGATTCAAACTGTTAATGACAGCACATGATCCTCTCTCTATCTTTCTTTGCAAAAAAAAAAAAGGGGGGGAACAATTGCCCTTTTGTAGAACTTGTTGAATGCTAATAATAGGATTCAGCCAACTCTTGATTGTGTTATTGGGCTTTAATCTAATCTTTGAGGCTCTCCCTCCCCCCTTTTTTTCATTTCCTTGGGGCTTTCTGTCCCTCCCTTCTCTTTACAAGAGGAGAGAAATGGTTTCTTTTGAATTCTCTGTAGTGCAAATTGAATTGGAGAACAATCACACCCTGGGAGCTAACAAAGGGGCTTCATTGGATGTCACTGTCATCCCCAATTATCTGATTGCTGTTTGTCAAATGGTTTGCTGCAGAGGAGAATTCCAGCCCAGGCTTTTGATTTCAGCATTAAATAGAAATTAGAGCCAACACTGCAATCTTTTCTTTCCCTAATGACAACCAGAGAGGAGTGATTACACTGAAGCTGGCTATTGCTTGCAACACAGAGAAGCCTTGCTATCACTCCCAAACAGCAGAACCTTAAAACCTTTGGGAAAATGTTTTATTGTAATGTAATAATAAAATTATTATTATTATTATTATTATTATTATTATTATTATTATTATTATTAATGGTAAATGTCAAATTGAAAAAATGAGCAGAGCCTAAGGGATCCGTTCCTTCATCAGGGCAGGACAGCCAAACAGATGAGTAGATGTTTCAAAGTGGAGTTGGAATGGCGGTCCAAGTTGGAAAGCTGATCCTTCTGCATTTTTACTTTTCAGTTCCTTTGTGATTTGCTTTCTTAATTTGTTCACTCTAGAGACTCTGGGTTTCCGGATGGGAAAGAGAATGCTTTTTAGTGTCCAATGACGTTTTCACGGGCCAGAATTCAAATCTGCAGCAACGACGTTCTTAAATCGTTTCAAAGTAGATATACAGTAATATGCTTTGGGTCATTAGTATTGGAGTAGTCATGAACCATTTCAATTGACTTTCTCAAATGTGAGAACCCCAAAACATTTGTGGGCAGGTGATGTATTCGTCTAATTGAATCAAGATTGTTGTGAAGTTATATGTTTATTGCAGGAGCTAGCACTGCAACTGTGAACAGCTCCCCAGCCACATGAGGTTTCCATAGGGTGCAAGGATAACTTTCAGCACCCAAGTCTTGGATAGCTCCCTCGGCAGCAATAGGCATGAACCACTGACTGTTTTAAATAAAGTGATACCTTTATTGGCCAAGGTAATATTGTGCATTTTGCTTGGCCAGTAAAGGTATCACTGATGGATTTTTGTTTGAACTTGCTAAATGGCCAACACAGCTACCCCTGAATGTTTTTTGACTGTTTTAAAGTCTTTATACAGTTGGCCTTCTGTATCCATGGATTCCGTATCCATAGATTCAAACTTCCATGGCTTGAAAATATTTTTAAAAATGTATAAATTCCAAAAAGCAAACCTTTATTTTACCATTTTATATAAGGGTCATCATTTTACTATGCCATTGTATTTAATGGGATTTGAGCATCCATGGAATTTGGTTATCTACAGAGGTCCTGGAACCAAACCCCAGCAGATAGCAAGGGCTCACTGTAGTTATCTCTGGTTCCAAAACACACTGCAGAAATAATCCAGTTCAAGACCACTTTAACTGCCCTAGTTCAATGCTAGGGAAATTGTAGTTTATTGTGGCACCAGAGCATTCAGACAGAGAAGGCTAAATGTGTCACAAAACTACACTTCCCATAATATTGAAGTGGTCCCAAACGGGATTATTTCTGCAGTGTGTTTTGAAACTTAGTCTTTGCAGCCTGTCTGGTTTTCTTTTCCAGACACCACTCACCCCATCTCTATACTTATAGTAAGCTGCAGATACATATTGTAATTTTAAAAATAATATTGGGCAAGATGGAATTAAGTGAGCCTGCATACGAGAGTCACTGAGATGTATTTTTATTTGGCAGACAGTGTAACTTGAGATGTATATTTGTGCACTAAACTGAGCAGTGCAAACCATTTGGCCCCCTGATCCAGACAATGATATAAGAGCCTGTCTCTTGCAAGCTGATGTATTCCAATGCAGCTGATCAAAGCCTTGGGGATGGCATGAGGATTGCATTTTGATGGCTGTCATGCCCATGATCTGGTGCTTTCTTTTGAAAGAAGGATTGGAGAAGGCATGGCAATTGTTACTGGAAGTTCAAAGAAATTTGCCAGACAGAATGAATGGTAGTGGTGGAGGAAGAGGAAGAATAGCAGCCACATCACAGACAGTACCATTGGTTATTTCAGTGATGATCTTTAGGAAGGACAATTGCTATAATTTGTTTAGAGCAGAACAGATGCTTTCTTTGAGTCAAAACTATGGGGAAGGGATGCGGCTGCAGAAAGCTCCTCTCAACAGTTTTACAGGACTAGCTCACTGGCTTTGGTTCCCACCTGATGAAGGAGGACGCTCTGCTCAAATGCAGGTAAGTTCTTAATTACACCTATATCTATATTTTAGGAAGCCACTTTTCCATTAAAGTCAATTGAGTTGGTGTCTGAGAAAAGCCATATATGCCTGCATTCTAGAGTAAACAATCAAGTTTAATAATAATGTTATTCCTTTTGTATTAAGACAGTACTGTGCTAGATTTGTCCATCGAAGTGGACTAGGTGTGAGCTGTAGTCAGAATATGTTTCTCTCTCTTCCTAGGGCACAGAGGGGTGGGCTATAAATAAAAAAATTATTATTATTATTATTATTATTATTATTATTATTATTATTATTATTATTATAAACTGCAAGTCTCTAGTTTAGCTCCGTATAATGATTACATATGTCCGCTTCCTTTCTTCCACTATGGAAGTAATGGTGTGTAGAGCATTCCCAGGCAGTCTGCCTTTCACACACTGACCAGACTCAGCTGTACTTAGATGCAGCCAGCTTGCCACATCATCTACCACAAGACCATGCTCTGGACCCTCCCTTGGAGGAGAAATGCTTAGGACAAAGGTATTTAGGGTGGTGCCTTTTTCTACAGAACTCTGGGAGTTCTGAGAAGATGAAACAAGCAGTGTCCTGCATTATGTTCTATAGCCTTCTATGCTAGTGTGATATTCCCATTCCCTTCTGTTTTTTGCTGATACAAAGCCAAAGTTTGTGAAGAAATATTCATTCCATCTTTTTTTTTTCTTATGAAAAAACAGAAAAGACACCTTCTGATGCATTGACTGAAGGTAGTATTTTGGTGGTTAGACGTGTTTTGAAAGATTCTGTTGGCAAGGGATGTAAAAGGTTTAGCGAAAAGTTAAACAT